AACAGGCCTTAAACCCTAAGCCTATTTGCTCCCCACCTTCGCACCACCTTGGCATCGTTGGCCAAAGGCTTCCGATCGGCATCGCGGCAGGCGGATCGGAGGGTGGAGAGCACATCCACCAGGCAAGCGGCGACCTCGATGTTTAGGGCTCTAGGGTGCCGAACACCACAACATAGACCTGAATCTGAAAACCTGGGCCCTAAACACAAATCCTTCAGGCATACGGTGTTCGGGATTTAGGGCTTCTTCTCTAAGGCGTACATAAGGAAGAGTCTGTGTAGGTGCTTAGTTAAGGTGCCCGGGGAAACGGGGACCAGGATTTTAGCTGCCGGTGTGGTGGACCCTTTACGGTCTAGGGATTTTGGTGGTTTAGGGTTTAGGTTTTAGGCTTGGGGCATTGCGCCTCAGGGGTTTAGGCGTCAAGGTGGCTGGAAATTTAGAACCCTTATGTTTAAGGAAATTATGGGAAGCGATTGTCGCGGAGCATCAGACTCTTCGAATACTGAAACCCAAACTCAAGCCTCAACGCCCTGAAACACTGAGTCCTAAATCCAACTAAGGTAGGGGCCTGAATAGTTTGAATAGGGTTTTGGGGCCCATTATATATATATATATACATACATATATACATACATATATACATATATATATATATATAATAGTTATGATAAAGAACCCCCCAAAATAGTATAGGTATTTATTTAGGAGCCTACAGTATATCACGCATGAGCCCTGATGCCTAAGACCTCAACCAGAAAGGTTAGTCAGACCATCGAGACTCACTCCTAAACTCTGATCTCCAAACCCACCCTACCTTAGGTTTCAGGTTTGGGTTTAGGGTCCCAAACCCTTCAGACTAGCAAGCTAGGCCGCGTCATTACGGGAAATGGTACAACCTCCCCTATAGCTTGACACGAAACACAAATACACTGCAAACAACATCTATTTATCAGCCTAAGCCACTAATCGGAATCCCGTGACTGCTCAACCCTAGACCCCAACGCCTCAATCCCACCCTCAATGAAACCGTAGAAGTTTTAAGCCCCGACCTTACGGACGAAATGAAGCCCAAAAAGTTTTCAGGTTCATAATGTCATAGACCATATAGGGTTTCATAGTATAAAGCATATAGGGCCCCTACTTATAAGGGTCATTTGGTCCGCAAGGGACCCTGAAAGTCCTACAGGCATTCTAAGTCAATTATCCGAAGTCCGGCCCCCGAAAGGTTCTCACACCCTTGAACAATGATCCAAAGGCAAAACCACGTAAACACCAGCCAACACGGGCCTTGGCTGGCGTCATGGCAACCGTCGTGGGCTTGGGAGGTGCATCTTGGTCCTACCGGAGGGGTTCTGGGTGAGGTTGGTGCCTAGAAGGGTTGGGGTTTAAGGGTTTAGGGCTCGGGCAGAGGATTCGAGTTTAGATGCTTAGGGGCTTGGGGACTTAGGGGGTGTAGGGTTTAAAGGGCTTACAGGTTTAGGGATAGGCGTGAAGGTTACGAGCTGAATTCCTGAAGCCTTTGTTGCAGGGATTTCAGTCTTTCAAAGAGTGCTTGTGGGTCTTCTTCTTTGTGAGACCCATTAAACTCTAGGCTTTCCCCTCCCCCACACACACACACACAGTGTACCACTGGTACAACAGGAATGTCGAGGTACTTAGTGCAACGACGACTATCCGATATGGTGACTGTGGGTAAAGGCCTTACCTGACATAAACTCCCCTAAACCCTAAACCCTAAATCCTTTTTTGGACCTGAAAGTTTCCGGCCTTGACCACCGGCTTTCGCTGCGCCTCGTCGCCATCGAGCTCCTCTTCTTGAGCGGCTTGCTCCTCCTTCAGAGCCTTGTGGGATTTGGAGAAGCTCTGAATTCCCTTGGCATCAAGGCCCCTAGGAGTCCTGAGCCGTATACATGCAAACAGCTCGAAACCCTGCACCTAAAAACCCTGTTGCACTCATGTTGCACCCGATGCCCACAAAGAACCACGACACAAACACTAGTCATCGCAATAATTGCCCCAAAGCCCTGGAGATACACCATCTGCACCTGGCTTGCAAACGGATCCTACGCCCTGAATCAGGACAACAAGCCGACAGTTGCTCGCTGTAACCCCTAACTTGCGCAAGATCACGATCTTTGAACCGAAAATTCTCTATAAAATGGGGTCTTAATAAATATATTTGGGGTTGCCTTAGTATATTTAT